GACAACTATACCATACACATAATATAGTTAAACTGATATCAGTTCATCACAGATAAATCATATCCAAGCAACAGAGTGCTAAATTGTGAAAAATGTTTGGTTTCATGTGTTGTTCAAGTAGCTATTACAGATACCACTGTAACCTGCATAATCATCTTCAATACAAGGGAAACTTCTCATCACTTGCTCTTGTTGTATCACTCTCAGCAATGCTATACATGAAAATTGTGTGTAATCCTAAACTACAGAAATTCAACTATTCCTCAACTTCTTGGTAGCAAGGCTTTAGCATGTGATTTCAGGGAATACTGTAGGATAATATATCATAGACAAAATTATCTAAGAGTATAAGGGGATTGTCATTCTTGGAAAGCTGCTAGAAAAATTTTCAAAATTTACACTGCATATCCTAAATAACCCTTTCTAGTATTCAATGTGAGAACATCAAAGCAATAATTTACTGAACTGGTGTTGTGGCCCATTTCAAAAATATTGGATTTAAAATGATGACAAAAGAATTCCCAAATCCTTTTTTCCTGCCTAATACAGCAAACTCTTATGAGAATGGGCTTGCTTTTAATTTCTTTTCCTTCATTCTTTGAACATAGTTAGTGGCAGCAAGGTTTATTTTTATAATTCATAGAATCATACACTACAGATGAGACCTTTTTGCTCATAGAGTTGGCACCTACAAAAATATTCTAGATCTACACCAGTCCCTCTTTCCAGCATTTGGCCCATAGCCTGAATGTTATTACGTTTCAAGTGCTTATCCATGTATCCTTTCAAGGTTGAGGTGTCCTGGCTCAACACCCTCCTAGGCAGTACGTTCTAGATTCCCACCACCCTCTGGGTGAAAACATTTTTCTCAAATCTCTCAGTCTCTTGCCTTTCTTTCTTTAAAGAATACCCTTTTGTTATTGACCCTTCAACTAAGGGAAACAGCTGCTTTTATTTAAGCTGTCATTGCCCATCATCATCTTATACAGACAAACCAGGCACCCCCACACCAGCCTTCTCCACTCAAAAGAAAACAACTTGAGCTTATCCAGCCTCTATTCATACCTAGACTGCTAAACCCAGGAAACATTTGCTCTGCACTCCTTTTGGCACAGTCACATACTTCTTATAGTGCAGTGACCAGAAATGCACATAATACTCCAGCGGCCTAACCAAAGTTTAGTACAAGTCCAACATAACCTTCCTGTTCTTATATGATATGCCACAACTGCATTCTTAACTACCCTATTAACCTTTGCTGCTGCCTTGAGGGATGTGGACAAGTATACAATGCTCCAGAGGTGGCTTCACCATAGTTCTGTATACCTGCAGTAAGAAGACACTACCTCTTAATTTAAGTTCTTTTGCAATGAAGGGCAACTTACCACTGGTCTTCCTAATTGCTTGCTGGACCTCCCTATCTACTTTCTTGATGGCTGCACAAAGACATCTGGAACTCTTTATAAATCCACTTATTCCAATATAATCATCATTTAAATACTCCTCGTCTTTATTTTTTATACTGAAACGTATAACTTCACTTCTAGTAATGTTGTACTGCATCTGCCATCACTCAACTTAGTTAAATCCCTTTGAAGCCTCCTTAACTCCTCCTCAGAACACTCAATCCCATCCAGTTTTACATCATCATCAAAGTTGGAAATATTACATTTGGCTCCCTTATCCATTTATAGTGATATATTGTGTTAGAAAATGACCTATTTTTTCCCCATTGTGTTTCCTGTGTGTCAACTAATTCTCAACCCATGCTAATGTATTACTCTCTATCCCATGTGTCTTAACTTTGCTCAATAACATCTTCTGAGGGATCTTATCAAAGGTCTTTAGAAAAGCCAAATACATCATACCCACTGGTTTTCCCGATGTTCAAAATGCAGTAAGACCTGGACAACATCCAGGCTTGGGCTGAAAAGTGGCAAATAAATACTATAAATAAAGCCACATAAATACTAGGCAATGATCACTGCCAGTAAAAGACAACCTAACTATCGTTTCTTGACCCTGAATTCCCCACTGTCAACATCTTGGAGGTTATCATTGACCAGAAACTGAAGTGGACTTTTCATATAAATACAGTGCAACAAGAGCAGATCAGCAGCTAGGATTCCTGCAGTGAGTAACTCACTGCCTGTCCACAATCTACAATGCACAAGTCAGGATTGTGATGGAATACTCCCCAGCTGATTGGAATCACATCTACAAACATTCCTCTGCCACCAAGCTCAGTATGAGCTGCGTGTACCACCTGTAAGATGCACTGCAGAAATTGGCCAAATCTGAAACAGCACCTTCCCAACCCATGATTAGTTCTATTGAAGACAACAAGGGAAGCAGATACATGGGAACACAACATCTCAACTTGGAAATATATTACCTTCAGTGTTGTTGGGTCAAAATCCCAGAATTTCCTCCTTAACAGCATTGTGGATATACTTACAGCACACGGACTGCAGCAGTTCAAGGTGCCTGCTCACCACTGTCACTTACCCAGCCAGCAATGCCCACTGCCAATGAGTGAATAAAAAAACATAAAAGCTAAGTGTGGCTCAAAAGATATTGAAATTGGCACGTATCAGGTCAGTTACTGTAGTATTCTGGTGATCTGAGACTCCAAATTTACTAATATCCCAGAATTAGAACAAATAAAATGGGAAAGTATACTCATCATTCTCTCACTTGCATTTTTTTTTTATTTGCCATGACAACTAAGTGGATTAAGTGTGGATGATTTTTCTCCCTCTTTAATCCAAGGGAACAGAAGATAATATTTTTAAAAGCAACAGAATAAGACAATAAGAACTGTACAATTAAGACAACGGAATGAAAATGACAAGAGTGTTTACCAAAGTCAGCAGGCAGGTTCCATTAATTGAGCTCAGATTGTTATTCATGAGTTAGCCTAGTCTCACTACGACAATGAAATATCCTTCCTTTCTGCTTCCTCAATGTCTGATAACCTAGTTATCATGTATCCATTTTCAATGTATTGTACAATACTAGCAGTCTTGTCATGATTTCCAAACTTTGCTCACTAATTCCTAATTTTTGTGACCCTTTCATTCCGAATACTCTGGGTATTCCCCAAATGAATCTGGGTTTGCAATAAGCTTGTATACTGCTAAACAGGTTATATTTATCATCTGGTATGGATTGTTAATCGTGCATCTTTAGTACAGTTTAAGATAACAATGGAATGCATATCATATACTTCTTCTATGTGATATTATGACATTTATACGGCTGCCATACATACCGGAAAAGGCTAGACAAATGAATATCAACTCATCCATCACCAGCACAGCTAACTGCTCTCAAATATGAGTTCATCTGCTATGGTGGACAAACAATTGATCCTGTTTATAAAATAAATGCACAGAATTTACCACACTTGAGATAGCTTAGTTTCTTGCCAATTTACTGCATTTCCTACATTTATGAAAATGCTTGAAACAGAAAACACAAATACCAAATTCTTGATAGACATTTCTAACAAGATTCCACAATAATTTAATGTGTCATTGCAAAATGTTTCTCTATGAAGTTGTGCACTCGCAAAATTATCTCCTTCCAGCACCAACCATATAGAATCAATGCTCATAAACCAATGTTCTAACCTTTTCATTTTTCTGCAAAGTACACAACAGTAAAAAGTACTCTATTGTCAAAATTAAACAACAGCAATACTCAGTACTGAAGGATACAGGAAGAGAAAAAGATACATTAAAGATAACCACTTTGTTTCTCAATCTCTTTCTCTCACCATGTAGCCTGTGATTATACAACAGTAGTGCCAAAAAAAAGGGATAAGCCAACTACAACAGGATGACCTAGCTGAAGGAACGGTGTACCAAAAAAAATCCACTTAGAAACTACGTCAGGGAGTGATCAGCACAGATATTATGACAGCAAATCACTTCATTTCGAATATTTATAGACAAAATTTTTCCAATAGTGTGAATTACTTAGAATATAGCTCAAAGAGGGGAGGATTTTCATGAAGATAGTCAAGATAAAAAGACAATTCCTGAATTCACCTGACAATACTGCTTGGTAGTAGAGTTACCTAAGGGAATAATTGTCACTCAAGATGTCCACTATTCTCAAGAATGACTAGTCACTGAAACCTATATTTAACAGATGGCTTGGAGAATTTTGACACCATACTTAGAAAAACTAGGATGCTGAACCATTCTAGTTTAAAAACTACAAAGGAGGTCTAGTCTAAGTATCAAATAAAGCTTGTTTACCTCAACTATAACAGCCTAAAGTGCAATATGCTGGATATTGGCAGCAAATTAGATATTTCTGGATGTCAACAGTTGAATCCATTCCAAAGGTTCACAGGGTTGAAGGTAGACCGATTTCATTTTAGATTGACCCACCACAAAATACCTACTCAGAAGCACTGGATTTTGCAATCATGGTATTTCTATTCTAGACTTAAATTATTCACTTAAGAATCCTTTTCTTCCCTTAAACAGAGGCGATTTAATATCATATTTTTGCTGCTTTTCTGTTGCCTTGGTAAGAAGCCCTTTAATTAAAGTATTTGAAGGCATCTTTAACGCATGTATTTTCCACTTTTTAGAATTTACTTGGAAGCGATTGATATGCCAAGGTTGTTAGCACTTTTATTCAGTTAAATTTATGAAGTGTTATGAAAAGTGCCCAAAAATACTTCAATAGAGTAAATGAAGTGGAAAAAAAACTAAGCTGTGTTTAAGTGTGTGTCAGTAATAATCAAATCACATTACATTCTGCACTTTCTTTTTCTAAATAGTCGACAGATTAAAGTCATTCTTTTGCAAGAAAGAACTTTCTAGCAATAAAGGGAAAGTGGAATAAAACATTTTGATGGTAATTTGAATGTGATCCAAACTTAATTCAAAGTAATTTCAACATGCAAAAAGTAATTGTAGTCTTGTTTTCAAATCTTAGTATAATTCACTATTTCGTTAAGACACTAAAATAAAACATACCAGCGATCCACATGCAATGTTGAGAATGTTCTTAGAGCTGCTTCTCGAGTCAAAAGCTTAAAGCCACACTGTGTATCCCTTATTCCTCTTACACACAGAAACCACACCAAGAAGTGGAAACCATACATGAGTAGAGTCCGAAAATAGGAACGCTGGAATAGAAAAATTATATTTACAGTAGCTGGTTCTGAATATCTAAACTGTCAAAAATTGCAAATTTCCTTAGAAATATTAAAGCTGAAATTGCTAGAAGCTCATCTAGCCAATAGGAATGGAGAACTCCCAACTATCAATCCATATGTACATTGACTCGGACTCAGATCCAGGGTTTGAACGTCATCTACATCAAAGGGAAATTGCAACCACATCATTTACAAACTCCCTGGGCAACCATCTTCCAGAACGTATGTTATCAAAATGGTTCTTTTGTTCCAATGTTTAATGATTAAGGAACCTGTTTCTAAACTACCATTAATTAGTCACTAACTTGATACCCATGTTGGCACATCATCCATGGCTGGCAAGAATGCCTTGACCATTAGGGTCTTTTGATGGTATCAAAATGGAAGAGATGTTCATCCCACTTGAGCTTCATATCATTTATCAACAATTGACAAATTTAAAACAAGCCAAAAAAAAACTTTTTCAACAGTTTGTTTTTGCGTAATTTCAATTAAAATTCAAAAATAATTCAAATTGAACAACGTTGAATTGAAAGAATAAACTCTCCAATTTTCAAGAGTTTTTAAAGTAAGACATGGCTTTGTTATAGTTTAGATTCCAAAAATTAACTCTACTATATAAGTGAAATACTGGAACTCAAATTTATTCTTGAAATTCAGTGATGAGAATTGTAATAATCAATGTGTTTTCATTCACCTAGAGCATAAGTTCACAATTATTCAGCTGCACTTACTTTGGCTATTGTCTCCTTTTCCAAATGAGCCCGAGATCCACACGAGATAGCCATGTTATCCTAAAGAGAGATCAAAGTAAATTTAATTAGCTAGTTTCCCAGAAGAGGATTTAAATTGCTGCTATCAAGCCATATTAGTGTCAAAAGTAGCGTCATAATCAAAGTCATGAATTTCCCTGCAATCATGCAGAAGATTAAATTATCTAAAATAGATGAAGTAGTAAATTAAATAATTTGCAGGAATCAGTTATGGTAGCAGCAATTCACAAAGTTAAATGGCTGCATAACTGTTTTAGAAACATATTTTTCTTGAAATGCTATCATATATGTGTAAAAAGTGTAGCATTCAGAATTTTGGACAACAGGTATAAAGGGAGGTTCGGAAGACAATGAGTGCAATGCCAGTATCCTTTACAGTTAAGATGCTAAATCAAAACAATCAATTATAATGCAACTTAAATACACACTTGCAAGGAAAATGTAAATAATATCCAAATAACGTTTCTAACATTTGGCTTTTTAATTACTATAATGTAGTTTGCTACAAGTGACATCTTCTGTTTCCATAGGACATTTAAGTACTTGTCACAATACTCACAGGCCCTGACTGGAGATCTTTCAAACCAGCTTCTACTTTTTCAATATCAGCAAACTTTGTAGCTCCATCAGCATCAGCCATTAGGATATATCTTCCTCGGCAACTTAACACACCCTGAACAGAATTAAACTGTATTATGATTTCTGTTATATTATTGCTTCATAAAATGATAAAATTGTAAACTCCAGAGCAGTAAAGAATGTTATAGGGAACCTTTTGTGGTGGGGTCAGCCTTTGCTAAGTCTGTAGATTCTTTGTAATCATGGTCAATTTTAACATTTTGTAATTACAATACTAAGATGCCAAAAGCCTGATTTTTGTTGACAATCTTCGTAAAATCCATACTGAAATACCTTCACTATAACAGAATTTTTTTTGTGATTTCCATTGTTTACTAACAAGAAAAAGAACAGGGAAATGTTCTTCAAATATTACATGATTTTAATTTCAGATTTCAAAACAGTGGCAGATAGCTGTGAATGTTGCAACACGCTGGTACATTGTACACAGCAAACTTTCTGAACAAGTTTGGCATTAATAAGGTGATTCACACTTCCTTGAATATAGAAGATTAGGGGGCATTTAACTGAGGTATTTAAGAAGATTTAAGGTTTTGAAAGAATAAATAGAAAGAAACAATTCTGTCTGGTTGGGAAGTCCAGAAAAAGAACCTTTGGCCTTAAAATAAAGCTTGACCTGTCAGATATTATGGCTTTAAGAGGTGTATTTTGTCCTGCCTTTTTTTCAATGAATAAAGGTTGAGACAGAGGTGCTGAGCAGTACGGTCCAAAGCCAATAAAGTAAACAGCTTGAGAGGCTTTGAGGTTTTTTTTTAAAAAAGTTGGAACAATAAAAGCAGCCTAAATTGGTGGGGTCCAACTTCCACAGAACCAGGATTCTTTTGTTAGTTTTAGCCTTCAATTGCAGTTGCTGGAGTCCTGAAGCTGGATGGAAGCTGTTAATCCTCTCTCAGTTACAGCTAAAAGCTGGGGTTCTTTTTCTGCTGCAAGAATTGTATGTGAGACAATTTATTTTACTGAATTTTGCCTTTGCCAAGGGTGTTTATGGGATGTTACTATATTGGAACAGTTACTTAGTAGTATATTTACAGTTAAGCCAATTTTTATTTTTATATTGTCCGTATTTGAACTGCAGTGTACAAAATAAAGTGTGTTTTGCTTACTGCCGAGTAATTTGACTAAATGAATTGCATCGGGGATGCAATGCCTTAAACTTACCTATAAAATAAGAAAAAGTTAGGGTCTAGATTATCTTCTTAATTTGTTTTTGGGGGGTTCGGTCTGGTCTACAACTGATCATTTGGACATCATGTCAGAAAACACACAAAGAATAGTGGAAACTTAAAATTATCCCTCGTCAAAATCTGTTATAACTAGGAGTCAATTGAATATTAAAAGTATGGATTGATAGATTTTTGTTAGGTGAAGATATTAAGGGATGTGGAATCAAGGTGGGTAAATGGAGTTAAGGTACAGATCAGCTATGATCTAACTGTATATGAGAGCAGAGTAAAGAGGCTAAATGCCTCTATTTGGTTTTATGCTGCTGTCCAAGTTGTAATATCAAAACAAAATTAGAAAGCAGAAGTTAAACATAGCTGCACAGGAAAAGACCTATTTTGTCTTGAGATTTAACGGAGTTCCACTGTTTTCACTGCATTAAACATATACAACTAGAACTACGAATTGCAATGTACAATTAGAAATCATGCAGAAGTCTCAGAAAAGTATGGACTTAAAAGATCCCTTGGCACTATTTTGAACATGAGCTGGGAGTGATCTCTAGTGTGTTGGCCAGTATTTATACATCAAATCATCATCACAAAAGAAAAAGTCTATCTTGTTATTGACACACTTGGGTGTTTGTGAGAATTTGCTGTGTGCATGTTAATTGCCATGTTTCTTATGTTGCAATAGTGACTACAATTCAAACTTAATTTGTTGGAAAGTACTTTGAGATGTCCAGTAGTTGTGAAAAATGCTATTTTTTTTTCTATTTAAATTCTGGTCATCAAAAGGTCTGGTTGAATAATTTTTTGCCTAAAACTTACCATTTTAACAGCACCACCTTTCCCACGATTTTTTAATAATGTTAATACGCGGACCTTATCAGATCCATACTCCTTGGAATAATTCAGCGCAACCTAAGTAAATAGATTTGGACATTATATGTTAGAAAAAATTAATATAAAATTCAGTTTGCTTGGAAAAAATGCAATTTCAAGAGTTTAGCTACATGGCAAAACTTTCACATACAACTTCAATAAAAACGTTCACTGCAAATGATTTAGACTTGCCCACAGAAACCAAAGTCACCATGATGCGCAACAATTCTTAATTTCACAGCAGATGTAACTTGATTGACAAAGGATTTAAAGTGAAATCCAACCCTAAGCAACGCAAATTCACTATTAATGATTTTACATAAAGGACCAGTTATAGTTATTTATTTCACATAGCTGCTATGTTCGAGTTCTGGGTTCTAATTATAGAAGTTTCATTTCTCAGTTTTAATAATTAAACTCCAAAGTAAAAGACAGTGTCATGTATTAAAGATTGTCTTGTTTTCAACTCATCAGATTATGTACATGAACAACTGCTATAGTCAGCAATGGTTAATCACACATTATTCTCCCTTTCAAAAAGGGAGCTGTTTCTTTCCTAAAACATAAAAGAGCATGAGTCACCATTCAGACCGTTGAGCCTGCTCCACCATTGAATAAAGTCGTGGCTGATGTGATTGTAATCGCAAATCCACCTGCCCATCTACTCCCAATAACTTTCACAATTTTCCTTATCACGAATAAATTAACCCCGCTCTAAAAAATATTCAAGACAGTTACTTCCACCACCTTTTTAGGAAGGGAGTTCTATAGATTCATGACCTACAGAGAAAAAAAAATCACCCCATTATGTTTCAAATTGACAAGCCATGAATTTTAAAGTGACCCCCAATTCTAGATTGTCCCATAAAAGGAAACATCCTCTTCACATCTACCTGTCAAGACTTCCTTACAATCAAGTCACGTCTTGCACTTCTACCCTCCAGCAGAGTACAAACATGGTCTGAACAAGCTTTTCTCATTAGAGGACCCATTCATTCCCGGTTTTAGTTTGGTAAAGCTTCTTTAGATTGCTTCCAATGCAAAACATAAACAAAGTTGACAGAGTTGTAAAATGTTTCTCATTTAAAAACGTATTTCACCTTTGACAGAGATTAATAAAAAGGGAGATGAGTAAAGGCATGTCCTCTTTGTGACATGTGGTTTTAAGTTTGTCTGTTTCTAATTTGTTTCTCCTCATTTGGCACTTGCCTAAGAGCTGTTCATCTTCCAGCTTTGATTAAAGATGATTAATTTGAAAAGTTTACTTTGCTTCTGTCCCTGCCCTGTTGTGCATTTTTGGCACTCTCCTTTTATTTTAGTTTATGTACAAACTAGTTTAGGATAATTAAAGGCATTGGCATGCTCTTGTGGCACAGTGGTATTCCGTCAGAAAGTCCAGGGTCAAGTTCCAGTTGTCCTGGAGATGTGTTATTAAAATGTCCAAATTGGTTGACTAAAACATTTATTGCAATTTAGGATTGTCAGCAGGTGCTCCTGTAAATCTCCCATATACAATATTACATCGGAACTGTGGATCATCTCCTTTCTTAATTCTTTCATTTATTTACTCCATCAAAATATTTAAAGTACAAACAGCCATTTAATTGCAGATCACCACAGACAAATGAAACAACCCATACTGGCACCGCAGTCACTACAAGCAGTTTCATCAGTAAAATTTAACACATTCATATTATTTTCCAATTATAAATAAATGCTTTAATTTTAGTGAAGTCAAACTTTTGGCTGATGTTCAGCTGAAATGCACTTTTGCTATGTAAAAGTTCAGAACACAACCCACTTAAAAAAAACTGTTATGAGCTAAACATCAAATCTAGAAGGGTTTATCTAACTTTTGTTTTAAAAATATAGCCTTATATTATTGCTGGTGATATTAATAGGAAAAATAATTTTACACATGGTTCCTTTCTGGCACTGATTTATAAACGAGGATCTGTAGGAAGATATGAACTTATTAGCACAAACAATCAAAAGCCAGAAACAGAATAGGTCGGTTTCGAAAGTATTTCCACTGGTCTGCATACATTTTTTTTTAAAATAAATAGACAGAACAGAAATAAAATTAAACATTTAGTATAAACCTTAAGCACATTACAGCAGAAACTGTTAGAAGCACTTCTGTGGATTTGCTTTTGGTATTTCTTACCTTTGTTGTTTCATCTTTACTGCCATCATCTACAACAATCACTTCATAGGAAAAGGAGGAGTTTTTCTTCTACAAACAAAGTTTTCAATTATCTCTTAGTATCTTTAAAATTGCAAAATGGCACACAATCTGGTATATTTACATTGTATACAAAGGAATTGGGGATGTATTTAAAATCTATAGTTAAAGTACATGGTTTAACTGTTAAATGCTTTATTTATGAGTTAGTCACCTAGTTCGGGTGTAATGTATAATAAATGCTGAAAGAAACCAAAGCAGAAATAGCATAAGCATTGGTCAAAATGTTTATGAGCTCATTGGATATGAAAGCAGCATCCTGATGGGTGCTAAATTTATATCACAATTTGAAAAAAAAGAGTATTAAACTAAGAAATTATAGGTGAACCAGCCAAACATTGGTGTGACATGTTATTAGAAAGCATAATCTGGGACAAAATATATTTTTATTTGGAAAGACCTGGATCAGTGTCAGCATAGATTTATTAAAGGTTTGGTTAACTTGATTGAGTTAAAGGATGTTAAAGGATGCCATTTTACCAATTGAGGTACTGCAGCAACTTTTTTTATATTTGTTCATAGCTTCAATGGCAGCGCCACCATTTATTGCTCACAATGAACTTTAGCTTTGAGAAAATGGTAGTGGACTACCTTCTTGCACCATTGTAATCAATGTTTCCTCTTAACTGTGTAGTCGTGCGGCTGCTGGGATGCTCCGTGAACATCAGTGTGGCGAAGAGTGGCTCACACGGACCTCCAAAGTCCATGCAGCAGCAAAAGAATTACAGGGAATGTTAACTTTGGTGTATGAATACACACACACTTCTGTTAGGGAGGGAGTGCTAGGATTTTGACCCAACGACGATAAAAGAATAGTGACAGGTTTCTCAGTCATGTTGATGTGCATCTTGGAGGGCAACTTGGTGTTCCGTTGGATCTGCTTCTTTTGTTTTCCTAGGCGTACAGATCATGATTCTTGAAGGTGTTTAAGAGTTTTGGCAATTTGTCACAGAATATCTTGCTTACGGTACATACTGCTGCCACTACGCACTGATGGTAAAGAGAATGATTGTTTAAGGTGATGGATATGGTGCAATTCAAGCACACTCATCCAACCAAGTATTCCATTACATTTCTGACAAGCCTTGTAGGTGGCAGACAGGTTTTGTGGACTCAGCAGAATTCCCAACCTCAGACCTGCTCTCTTCGCCACAGTAAGATTCTTCTATATTTATATGGCTAGCTCAGTTAAATTTCAAACCAGTAGCAACTCCCATGATGTTGATGGTGAGGATTTATCAAAGGAATTGTCAAAGGAAAATGGTTAGATTCTAGCTTGTTGGACGCTATCATTTCCTGGGACTTGAGTGGCATGAATTTTACTTGCCATTTATCAGACAAGGTTTGAGCAGGGAGGTACTACTGAGGTTGTAGAAGGCTCTGTTTAAACTGTGTTTGGAATATTGTGAGCAGTTCTGGGCCACGTATCTAAGGAAGGATATGCTGGCTTTGGAGGTGGGTCCAGAGGAAGTTTATAAGAATGATCCCAGGGGAGGGAGGATGTCAGCATTTACATGGGGATTCTGACAGAGGAGGGGTGGAAGGTTGGGACGGCACTTGCCACTTTTCACTCGCCATTTCCTACAATGTGTTGAAGTTGCTCAATGCAGTTTAGAAGGATGACGTGGGGAGAGAGGGGTAGTGGGTCTCATTGAAACTTACAGAATACTGAGAGGCCTGGATACAAGAGGCATCAATAAAATGTTTCCACTAGCAGGAGAAACTAGGAGTCAAGGACACAGCCTCAGAGTGATTGGACAACCTTTAGAACTGAGATGAGGAGGAATTTCTTCAGCCAAAGAGTGGTGAATCTATGGAACTCATTGCCACAGAATTCTGAGAAGGCCAAAAGATTAAAATAAAACAAAGAAATGTGGATGCTGGAAATTTGAAACAAAAACAGAAATTGCTGGCGAAATTCAGCAGGTGTGGTAGCATCTGTGGAGAGAAAGCAGAGTTAACATTTCGGATCCAGTGACCCTTCTTCAGAACTGATGGTACCTAGGAAACTGTAGTCTATGTTGAAGACTTTGGGGGTGGTGGGTGTGTGGTGCAGAGAGGGAGTATGCGAAAGGTGGAGATGGAGCCCAGAGGGAGAGAAAGACAGTTCATGCAGATAAAGGGATGGATAACGGTAAACCAGGGAGAAAGAAAAGCTGATAGTAGGAACCCTTAGTAGGTGAAAATGGGTTGGCAATGCCTAAAGCAGCCCATGTAATGACAGGGTCTGGGGTGTAGGGGTAGGTAAAGGAATGGATGGTGGTGCTCAGGCCCTAGAATTAATGAACTCAACATTGAGTCCTCAAGGCTGCAGGGTCCCAAAGTGGAAAACAGATGCTGTTCTTCCAGCTTGCACTCAGCCTCGCCAGAGCACTGCAGCAGGCCTGAGACAGAAACATTGGCCAGGAAAGCTAGTGGTGTGTCAAGTCATAGGCAACTGGAAGTTTGGGTCATTTGTGGACTGAATATAGCTGCCCTACAAGCAGTTGCCCCATCTGCATTTCATCTCCCCATAGTAAAGGAAACTGCATTGTGAGCAGCAAATACAGTACACTTGACTGAGTGAAGTACAGGTAAATCACTGCTTCTTCTGGGAGATTTCTGGAGCCTTGAATAGTGAGGAGACTGAAAGTAATCTGGCAGGTGTTATACCTTTTGTAGTTACATGGGAAGTGAAGGACGAGGGTGCCCCGGAGGGAATGGTCCCTACAGAATGCTAACAAGGGAAGGGAGGCAATTGCTTAGGTTTACCCATTGTTTCTGCCCCAACGAACCCTACCTTGATTCTATTTTCTTTTCCTCAGCTCCCTCTGTGCTACACATTTTTGGAGTCTCTCCCTCCATTTTTTAAATAATAGTCTGCCTCACACCTTTCTGCATTGAACTCTATCTGCCATGTTTTTGCCCATTCACTCAACCTATCCATATCCTCTTCATCACCACGTCCTTCCACCTGTTTATGTCTCATCAGCACTTTGTTCCCTCCTCTGTCATTAGTATAGATAGTAAATAGCTGAGACACCAGGACTGATCCTTGTTGCACTCCATTAGTCATGCCTTTCCAATCTGAAAAGACCCTTCGATCCTGACTGTCTTCTGTGTGTTAACCAATCCTGAGTCGATGATAATACATTAGCCGGCATACCGTGAACTCTTGTCTTGTGAAGAGCGATATTTTATGATTAAGCAGCTAAAATTTTTACTGAAACTTTTGCTAGGATATCCCCATAAAAAAGCTTGCAAATGTGTTCGTCCAAAGGACAATGCAAAACATTCATAAAGTAATGCAAGTCTTTTCTGGTAGTCAAAGAAGGGATTTCAAGATAAAATTTCATAACACACTTTCCAGAGCAAAGTACAAAATTGTGCACAGACCTCTCATCAATTATTGTTTAAAAGTGATATATATTCCCAAATTAAAAAGTAACATTTAACACATTCTGCTATTCTTAAGAGACAACAAAATTAAGAAAAATAGTGTACTCGCATATTGCACCATCATTCAAATTCACAAATTACAGTTGGCCTGAGAGAATAAAATTATTGATACCTGTCTTTGTTCCAAATATTCTAACGTCTCATCCATCATCAGAGGTACTGAAATTAGGTAAAACAAAAATGAGGACATTAGCAATATTTAGACTGTGACCAAGGTCTTTTCTATGATTTCGATATATGAAAGATAGTGGAACAAGATACTTTAACTTAAATTATACTGATTACATGGTAACCAAATAATGGCATGTAGTTTCCTAGTGAATTCAAATATTGTGAAAGTAGAAATTAAAATGAACTATTTTTGGGGAAGGAAGGAAGAAAAGTGCCAGAAATCATTATCTGTTTAAGCTGCACATGACCAGTTGCATGGCATCATCAGTTAGGATGGTTCTAGAAGATATAAAATGGAGACCACCCTATAAGGAGGAAAGCGATTGAAATCAAAAGGCTTCAATTGAGATTTTTTTTCTTAGTCAAAGGATATCCTGACACCATTATTTTCAATCTTTTAAATTGAACCAAAGTAATTCTGGTCGAATTGGTGTCTACATTCCAGGAGCTACTCTTAAAAAAACCAAAAAACCAAGCAAATTACACTGGCAATAAAGTCAGAACATGGAATTTTGGTTGTTCTGATGAATAGTTGGCTCAACACTGCATAACAACCACTGTTCTTTTATTTCTGGGACACACGTTAAAATACATTACATTATTTAGCAGAGTTTTTTGCAGAAAAGTACAAAGAACAACATTCCTTAACACTGGAATGTCAGCAGAGATTTTGTGCTCAAGTCTCTGGAATGGAACTTGAACCCACTATTTTTGACTCAAAAGAAAAGATTGCTTTCCGCTGATATGGTCGACACCAAATTAATTCAATTTTTAGAAAATTACAAACTCCTAGAAGTCAGAAACTTACATCTTCCGAAAACTGGAGCGAAAATCCAGTTAAACACATTATAATTGTGGTCTTGTCAAGAATCTATGTATTTGTCAGGAAAACTTACATCTTTCTTCTTCATTATAAGATGGGACAATGACAGACAGTTCTTTAGTGGGAGGATCATGAATACTAGGGAACAATTCCTTCCTGCCAGAATTTGGACTTAAAAAGAATTTTTCTTTCTCTCCAAGACCGAGGTTTGGCATTTTAATAGCAGTCACGTGTGCAGTGAACAACAGCTGCAAAAAGACAGAAAATCAAGTTGTAAAATATACAATGTGACATTACGGATATAGAGGGTCTTAAAATTCAGATAGACAGTTCATTAGACATATTTCATTATATTTTTTCACTCCTGCAGGACGGTTTCACATCAACAAGAATCAGATCAATCCTGAGACTGATTTAATTTGGGACCAGGGAAAAGTGTTCTTAACAATTACAAAGTTAAGAATAGGGACTTCCAGTACTTTTTGAGCCTTGAGATTTTACTTTCTCATCAAAAGGTCAGAATAATATATCCTTTTAACACCAGGGCACATTTGAAGAGAAATCAGTGCATATTTTGAACATTACTAAATCTCAATAAAAAATCAAAAAAGCTATCAAGGCACAGGTGAACCAAATAATGACAATTATTTACAGATTCCATTCAAAAGAAGCTCCAAAATTAATATTCCAAGGTCAAAAAATACTGCCACCAATTTTTAGTATAAAAAAATAGTATTTTAGATTGATCGTGGACTACAAATTATTGACTTTTAGATGAGATTCAAATAGTGCATTCTTACTATTGCATCACAAAGCATAAATGTTAAACCCATGAAAAGATGTGCCAATTGATAAATATTGCAATGTGTTGACTGGTATATTGTGATAATTGAAGGAAGTGCATTCACTTTGTTCTTAACACAGCGATGATCAGCAATATGACTTTTCAATTGATGTTAATGACTCCGGTTTAACACATGCACACTGATTGATCTTCTATTTTGTAATGGTGGTTTGAAAAAATTTGGGAAGAATTAGACTCTACCAATTTACCAAAGAAAATCCAGGGATTTTATTGCAGAAATTGGTAAAAGAAAAACTTTTTAAAAAATGATTATCTGTACACATTTCATAACTTCAGGACGTCTCAAAAACTTCACAACCAATTCATTAATTTTGAAACCCAAAGATTATTGCTATGTTGGAAAATGTGGCAGAAAACACGTATGCTTAGATATGCTTAGACATAAATGACCAGTTCACAGGGACAAACATTGGCCAGGTCATAAAGAACACATTTTTAAAAAAATAGTCCAACACAGGTGTGATGTACTGAATGACCTGTGTTGCATAACTTTATTAAAGTTTGACAATAAGTCACTGAGCAGACAATGGATATCAATGTGAGGCTATTAGATACATTGCTGAAGAGAATGTCGTTAGGGAAAGTTATCAAGTGTCATTGCTTTTTCCTGTTCCTAAAAACTACTTTATTATTTAAGTTACAGTGCAGATTCTTGCAGTTTTACAATGTGGGTTAAATTTATTGGCCCTTTAGTAGCAGTTATACTACAGAATTGAGTATATACAAAGAAACAAATGAAGCCTATAGGAAAAGTACCACAATAATAACAGGTGACTTCAATATAAATTGAGATTGGGATGAATCGAGTTGGCAAGGATAATCTAGTAAATGAGTTCAGAGTGTATTTGTACAAGTTCTTACAGCAGCACATTTTAGGGTAAACAGTGAGCAGGCTATTCGAGATCTGTTAATGTGCAACGAGACAAGTTTAATCAATAATCTCTAGGAAAGGACCCTTTAGGGGACAATAATGAAGAAGAGGTAGGTTATCAAATCCCAGTTTTAAGAATGAGGTAGAGCGAGGATACAGATTTCCTGTAGCTCCCACAAGATGCAGTGACTCTGCTGAGATGCTCCCACATTTTCTCTCTCTTTACCAATTTTCCCTCGGTGATTCTTGCAACACCATAATGTAAATCACAATAAGGCAGCATTTGACCCATTAACTCCTCATTTACAGCGAGTTGGTTAATACTGTTCTGTTGTAACATCATAAAGAAAACTTGGATTGTTTTCGCTAGAGCATTGAAGGCTGAGGGTACCTGATAGAAGTATATAAAATTATTACAGGGTGGATAGTTTGAATCTTTTTCCCAGGGGGATAGTAGGTTTAATATGTAGCTTTAAGGCAAGAGGGGAAAAGTTTAAAGGAGATATGCACGAGGAAGAATTTTTTTTATACACAAGAACATGATAGATGCCTGCTACGCACCGGGGGGTGTTGGAAGCCGATAAAACAGCAACATTTAAGGGGCATTTGGACAGACATGTGAACAGGCAGGGAATAGAGGAGTATGGACCATGTGCAGGTGGACATGGTTAGTTTAAAATGGCATCATGGTTGGTACAGACATGGTGGGCCGATAGGCCTGTTCCTGTGCTGTATTGTAGAAAACAAATAGTAACAATATACTCATTTAATGCAGAGAGTTTCAGTTTAACAGAGTTTGAAAGAAGTCCTGTGTGTTACAGCTTATAGCAACTGAAGATAAAATCAACTGACTTTCTTAGGCTTAAAGTGGGTTTTGAGCAAAGAAGAGACAAAGCTCCTGAGGTGGTGGAGAATGGATGGTTTCTCCACATCTTATTCACAGCCCCAAGTTGTTCAGCTACCAGAGAACCAATCACACTGTTGTTTGCAAGCAAAAGGTGTCTGTCGTGATAACTGGTCAGCAGCCCATTGCTACTTGTTGCAGCATGTCCTCTCCCACAGTTTCTCCTGCTACTCCTTGAACCAGCAGCTGTGTAAACAGTACCTACAATGAGTGTCAGGTTACTTGCTTTCAAAAGCATGCAATAATTTTTCACTAATCCTTGGCTTCAAAACAGTTCTTTTCCAACTTCAGTCCACAATCAAAGATACATGGTCTTTATAGGTACACATTCGTACCAATACTGTCATAAATAGATGCATCTGCAACAGGCAGACTTTTCAGGACAAAGTCAACCAGCTTTATCCCTTTGGTCAGTTCCCTCATCACCTGCCAGAGAGCTGGTTTTGCAGCTATGTAGTTTAGAGCTCACACAGCTTCGTCTTTAGTGATGCTGAGCCACCATTGGACATTGGAGCTCCCTACTACACATTCTGTACACCTACAACCCTCGGTATTTCTTTAAAATAGTACTCAACATTCGATACTGATTAATCGGGGTGGGGGCGGGGGAATGAGAGGAACACAATCAGCAGGTGGATTCTTGGTCATGTGACTCATGCCATGTGACCTCACAATCTTCAGTGTCCAACATTTGAAGACACCCAGATCACTTCCTCCCTTCTATAGGTCACCACGTCTCAGGGATTCAGTTGTGCCAGTGAGGCAGGCATATACCTCGGGATGGCGATGACACAGTCTGCAACAAGTGATTTTTTTGATTTTGGTTCTGAAGTTTATATTAGATTCAAAATGATAACTGCTTCTCTTTCTACAGTTGCTGCCAAACCTGCTGAGTTTCCCCAACACTTTTGTTTTATAAAAAAGCTCAAGTGGGATGGTTGTTAGAGATTAAATGGGCTCAGACTGTTTTTGCTTGGAAAAAGGTGCAAGTATTTGCACATGCAATTAATGGTGATGGCAGTTGACAGATATTACCTTCAAGTCTCACGGAAGTCTTGAGGATGCTGGGTTGTAAACAGTTGTGTAGGAAGACTGGAGATTGGCTAACGTGGTGCGATTATTTAAGAAAGGTGGTAGAGAAAAGCTAGGGAAGTATAGACCGGTGAGCCTGACGTCAGTGGTGGGTAAGTAGATGGAGGAGATTCTGAAGGATGGGATTACCTGCATTTGGAAGAGCAAGGACTGATTAGGGAGTCAACATAGCTTTGTGTGGGAAATTGTGTTTCACTAACTTGAGTTTTTTTGAAGAAGTGACCAAGAAGATTGAAGGCAGAGCGGTAGCCTTTGTCTATATGGACTTCAGCAAAGCTTTTGGCAAGGTTCCACATGATAGATTAGTTAGCAAGGTTAGATCGCATGGAATCCTGGGACAGCTAGCCATTTGGATACAAAATTGGCTTGAAGATAGGAGAGGGAGAGTGGTTGTTTTTCATACTGGAGGCCTGTGACCAATGGTGTCCTGCAAGGTGTTTGGTTTGCTTGCCTTTATTGGTCAGTGCTTTGAGTAAAGGAGTTGGGATGTCATGTTGTGGCTGTACAGAACATTGGTTAGGCCACTCCTAGAATACTGAGTTTGGTTCTGGTCTTCCTGTTCTAGGAAAGGTGTTGTTTAAACTTAAAGGTTCAGAAAAGATCTGGAAGGATGTTGCTGGGATTGGAGGGTTTGAGCTATAGGGAGAGGTGGAATATGTTGGGGATTTTTCCCCCCTGGAGTGGGGGCTGACTTTAAAGGCTTTTAAAATCATAAGGGGCATAGAAAGGGTAAATATCCAAGGCATTTTCCCTAGGATGGTGGAATCCGAAACTGGAGGGCATTGGTTTAATGAGAGAGGGGAAAGATTTAAAAAGGACCTCACAGGCAACTTTTTCACGTGGAGGGTGGAGCATGTATGGAACAAGCTGTCAGAGGAAGTGGTGGAAGAGGATACAATTACTGGATTTAAGGTATCTGAATGGGTACATGAATAGGAAGGGTTTAGAGGGATGTGGGCCAAATGCTGGCTAATGGGACTCCGGTCAGATTAGGATATCTGATCAGCAAAGATAAGTTGGACCAAAGAATCTGTTTCTGTGCTGTATAACAATGACAGGTACAGCTCAGTGGTTAGCGCTATTGCCTCACGCCAAGGGCCCAGGTTCAATTCCAGCCTTGGGTGACTGTCTGTGTGGGTTTCCTCCAGGTGTTCTGGATTCCTCCCACAGTGCAAAGGAGGTTAGGATTGGCTATGCTAAATTACCCATAGTGACACAGGGATGTGAAGGCTTAGGTGGGTTGGTTGGCCAAGCTGATAATTGCCCTGTAGCATTCATGGTGATTTTGAATGCACGCCAGCTGAAAGCTCCATTTACATCACCAGTGACGTATTCAGCATTCATTCTCATTTTAGGCCAACATGGTGGCTCAGTTGTTAGCACTGCTGCCTCACAGCGCTAGGAACCCAGGTTTGATTTCACCCTCAGGCAACTGTTTGTTTGGAGTTTGCACGTTCTGCGTGGGTTTCCTCTGGGTGCTCCGGTTTCCTCCCACAGTCCAAAGATGTGCAGGCTAGGTGGACTGGTCAGGCTAAATTGCCCGTAGGGTTCAGGGATGTGTAGACTGGAGGGGTCTGGATGGGATGCTCAGAGGGTCGGTGTGGACTTGTTGGGCCAAAGGGCCTGTTTCCACACTGTAGGGATTCAATGATCATAATTTCAATGACTCTATAAATAAATTTAGGTCAAAAATCCTGAAGCTTCCTCCCCTAATAGTACTGTGCATCCTTCCCTTGGAACTTTACATTTTGGTAGGAATATATTTGAGTATTTGGAAATATCCCCATAAATGTTTGCAAGTCCTCTTCTATTGACCAATCCCCTAGTCAAATACCCCAGTTCACTTCAGCTAGCTGAGATGTCATGCTCACATACTTGACTTTAAATTCAAAATACTAGCCTTAGATCCAATCCCTTCTCTTTCACACAGGATGTAAAAATTCAACCAGGTTGTGGTCACTGCTCCTACAGCAGGCATTCTCTTACACAATAACTAATCCAATGTAATATAAAAACAGAGTTCCCGTTCTGAGGAAGGGTCACTAGACCTGAAATGTTAATTTTTTTTCTTCACAGATACTGCCAGACCTGCTGAGCCTTTCCAGCAATTCCGTTTTTGTTCTCTTGGTTCCTACAGCAGTAAGTTCTGGAACTAATCTTGAAAGCATTCTAGAAACTCCTCATCCAGGATATTCTCGCCAGTGAGAGATAGTAAGAACTGCAGATATTGGAGAATCTGAGATAACAAGGTGTAGAGCTGGATGAACACAGCAGGCCAAGCAGCAAAGGAGCAGGAAAGCTGACGTGCATTTCTGAAGAAGGGTCCAGACCCGAAACGTCAGCTTTCCTGCTCCTCTGATGCTGCCTAGCCTGCTGTGTTCCTCCAGCTCCACACTGTGTTATCGCCAGTGATTTTTTTTGTTTCCCCTCAGTTTATATACAGATTATTGCTGGCTCTTTGTCGCAAGCGCCCCATATTCCTTTTATATATTTTGTTCCATATTGTGGTTACTCTTACAGGGCCTGTAGATCTCTCCCACTGGTATTTTTCTTTCCTCTAGTGCTCCTCATCTTCATTTAAAACAATTCCACATCCTGATCCCCGGGAGATGTCTCTCGGCAATAAACAGCTGAAGCTGCCGGGAGAGGGGAGAAACGTCACAGGGAGCGGACTCACCAGGAGCAAGACCGTGAGGGCGACAGCAACTACTGCCTGCAGCACTTCGCCGGAATGGAGCTCCATGACCCGGGGTCGATAACCGCCAGCGGCTCCCACCCTAACAACCGCGCGAGCCTATGGCAGCGGGACACCGAGGCGGAAGCCAGCACCTCCGGCCGGAATCGACGAGGGTGCTACAGGCGGCAAGAGGCTACCAAACTCGGCAGCTCTTCTCACTGTAGCGCCACCACTAGCAGCTTGGTTCCAGCCTCCCAACCGCCCTCTCTGTGAAAGGACCGCCCTACCCCTTTGCATCCTTTTGTATCTCTCCTCTCTCACCTTAAACCCGTGCCCTCCGCTTTTAGACTCCCCTTACCGGGGGTGGGGTGAAGAAGTGAGCGGAGCAGGAGGAATCTATATGCAGCGCGGTCTGTTGGCGTGATCGTTGCTGACCTTGGGCTTCACTTTCTCCCAGCTCCCTGTGTCCGTCCATTCCCCGAGGGAGCATCAACTCTATTTCAGATCCCCTGTCCCAGGCTCCTTCCTCCTTCTGCACCTGTTCCCCACTTCCCATTATTTCTGCTCGTAACTTGTGTCTTCCAGAGTGAAAACTGAGACAAAATGTTTTTATTTGCCATTTCCTCATTTCCCATGATAATTTTTCCTTCTTTGCTTCTAACGGACCAAAAGCCAATATTTATTTAAGTTACTCTTCTTTTTTGCATACTTTTAAACCCTCTTGTTATCTGTTTTAAGTTCCTTACAACTCTGATGTCCTCGCATTGCAGACAACACCTGAGGATATGGATATATGGGTCACATTGGTATCCACCAGTTCCCATATGGTGTAGCTACACTATATACGGTAATAAAATGCCCAGGAAGGTACTCCTGCTGAGTTGAGACTTTAAAGAACTGCTCAACTGGTTCCAAATGCTCTTAAATTGACATAAACAATGTTCGGGCATCATTCAGAAAGGTGGACACTCCAAATGTTAATGCCAAAGTTATTCCCTCAAACAACAATGTAGTAACAATGCATTTTTTCACTTTGTAAGCTTGGATGTGTGGAATGTTTGTTTACAAAGGGTATTGCTTTATACTATTTATTTGTTATTTCATGTAAGTGTCACCAACAAGTCCAGCATTTATTGTGTTTCCAAAATTACCCTTGAAAAGGTGGTGACCAGCTGTCACCTTAAACTCCTGCAGTCCATGCAATCAGTACATCCACAAACCCGTTACAGAGGAACTTTCAGGATTTCATTCCAGCAACAGTGAAGGAAACATTGAGAATATTCCATCACACCCCTGACTTGAGGCCAACGGATGGTGGACTGGCCTGAGGATTTAATAGATACGTTACCGCAAAATTCCAAGGCTCTGATCTGCTCTTGTAGCAAAATATGTAGAGTTCAGTTTCTGGTCAATGGTAAGCCAAAATAATAGTGGGGGATCCAATGACCGTAACACCAGCATTCTTGTTAACACCTCAAACAACAATATTAATAAGAGTTAGATGTGTGGAATGTTTGTTTATAATTGGTATTGGTTTATTGCCTTAAACAGTCAATCCTTCCATCACTGTCGCACAGTGGCAGCAGCGTTTATGTGACGCACTGCTACAATTTGCCAAGGTTCCATCAACAGTACTTTCAAAACCTGCAACATCCACCTCCTAGAGCAGGCAGCCAGAAGGGGCTGGGGTTGATAGCAGAAGCAGGTAGCCCAAGGCGGCCGGGGTGAGAATGGGTGTTCAGAGCCGGGGGCAGCCGGTGGTGAGACCGGAGGCAGGCAGCCGGGGGCGGTCAAACCATTGTGGGGAGTGTGAGTCCAGCATGGCCAGTTACTTGTGGACCGTGGTGTTGAACTGTTAACATGTTTCTTTGTTTCCCCACCCCTTTTTAGTATGAAGAACTGCAATGTTTAACTTTATAACTTTGTTTTTCATATTTTTCTGCTTTGTACCTGAAATGGTGCTTTAAGTGGATACTTGTAAACTTTTCACTGTACTCATGAGAGTAATGTGACAATAAACCTAATTCAATTCAATTCATGTCTGATTCGGCAAAAATGAATATCATGCAGTCACCAGGTCACTTTGACCATATGTGGGATGAATGGTATTTGACAAAGTTGCTAAAGGTAGTTGGGCTCAGGACACTATCCTGAGGAAGTCCTGTAGAGATATCTTGGGACTGAGATGATTTGTGCTGGTTATGATCTCAATAGTTGGATCATTTCTATCCTGCTCACAACAGTCAAATGCTGTAATGTTGTCTTGTCCGTACATCTGTTTAAAACAAAAAAACTCAGATAATCTCTAGTTTAGTTCAATGATAGATAAACTGTTGTTATCAGCATTACTTGTAGCAATTTTAGTGCAGTTAAAGACTACATTTGGAGAATTCTTCATGAGTTATCTTACCTCCAACCCTTTGAAAAATTAGGTATTATATTATAAAATATACATTATAAAACTGATTTAATAAAACGGATATTTTTAGGAAGAATACAATGTATAATTTAATGATTATTAGATATGCAGTATATTTTAAAAGTCAATGAGATGTATACAGCCTGGTTAAAGTGAGCTGTAAGATGTTGGTTCCTGAAGCTGCGGATTGCAGATGTCAATCATCATACAGCACCAACCGGCCACATGGCTTTCATTTCCATTCTGCACATTCCACACTGCAAAATAAAAATAAAAAAAAACCCCAAGAAAGAGGTTGGCCGTAGACAGAGCGGGGATTACAGGAGTCGAAGCGGGGAAAAATACAGTGTAATCCAATAAAGGAAAGAGGCTCGCAACTGTTCCGGCCTCTCCGAGGAATCTGCGAATCCAGTTCCCAGGTTCACATGGTTCAGAGAGACGGAGATGGCGGCTGGATTCAAGTGAGTGAGAAACAGGGAGAGGAGAGAGGGGGGAGGGGAGAGAGGGTT